GCTGTGGCTGCGATGATGCTAGTGGAGCAACGTTAGACAACATGTATGTTTTTTATATTGCTGTTGACAAAGAGCTCATACTAAAAATCGAGGTCACAAGAGTGAAAACAACAACAAAAATGTGCGTGTGTAAAATAAGGTTAATTTGCATATCGACTGGTCTATTGTCTCGTCTCCAACTCCTTTCCCTGGCACACACACTTGCATGTACAGCTAGTTTCGTGTCATATGGCCACCTGTGGATTAGGAGTTCATTTATGCAAAGTATGTATACACGACTGCGACAGTTGAACATAAAACAAATCTGACAAATGTACATAACAAATTTTGTATGAACAGTAGTCATTTGCATATTTACAATAACAATTTCATTAAGCTCGACTGAATTTATTTGTAATTATTTTATATAAATGTTATGATAGTGCCTATCGTGCTGAAAGAGTTAGTCGACTGTATCGACGTCACGTACTAGTACATGTATTAGAATAGTTTAAGCAAACATCCTCGGCGCTAGTCACGAGTGTAGACTATACTGTCAAATGTTTAAATACAGCTAGTTTTCGGGGTCCGCCGTTGGTGTAATTACAGCGGTTGTGATCCCTCCCCCCGGGAGGTGTGTACCCCTCAATGTGTTTATACAGGATCTAAGTCAACGACTACCCCGTCACATGACAAATGTAAAATATGTTCATAGAAAGTTACTTAGGAACTACTTGATGGTATAATGCCTTAGGTGGAAAACGCATTTGGTAGAAAATGACCGATTATCTTATATAGCAACAATTAGCTTCACACGATCATGATATCCAAGTTAAAATTCGAAATGTGGCGTATGTTCAGTTATGCATTTTTCCTTCTTCAAGTACGCCACACTAACTTTAACAGCGCCACGCCCAGTCGCGCTCTTAAAAAGCATCAACCTATTTCTTTGCAGCATTAAGGTCAATGTTAACGCCAAAGTCCCGAAAGTCAACAGTTCGGCAGTCTTACCTTACGTGTAGTCCTCCAGGTGAGCTGTGATCATGCGGTGCAACCAGTAGCACGTAACAGAGGGTATCTGTTTACAGCTGTGCCGTCGTCAGCCTCTTTCGTTATTGAATGGAACTCGCTCCCAGGGCGGGGAAAGGGTCAAAACTCTCTATAAATCTAACGAAAGGCATATATCATCAAGGCATTATTCGTATTCAAATTTCAAACGGCCAACCATGCTCCACACAAAAGGGCACTGAGTGAAACACAAAGTTGTTGTCACTGTACTGCACTAGGTGCGCGTAACAAACAAACTAGCGGAAAGTAGGGCGGCTATTGTTAAACAAAGTTGGCTTCGCTTTAGCCTACACAGATAATATGGAGATTAGCTGTTTCAGTTGTAATAAGAACCGTCGGTTTTATTATAGGTAGGACCACAGTGGAGGGACTTTGATATGAATATACCGTGACACAATGCTGTTGACACACTCACCAGTGTAAACGTATGTAACCCACCAGCCCCCTGAATCGTACTTCTGTCACTTTGTGACGATATTTTGCAGATCACTTGTACAGTCCAGGCATACCATGGACCTTGACTTTGACCTTGACTGAAGGTCGAGTCAAGTGGAAAAACCATACAGCGTGGTACGACCGGGTGGTATGCAGGTGACAATTCTCTGCACTTTACTGTGCAGACGCCCGGTGAAGACGGTCGTTATCCAACCTGATTTCCCATAGCCCCTGGTTCCGTAGTGAATAATAGTAAATAATAGTAAATAATAGTAAATAATTGGTAGCAGGATAGTATTTTGGAGTCTGTTTTTTCAAATATCAAATCAAAAACACTGTCCTCATGATACATGTTTTAAAATATTTATTTTTTTCTCTCATAACAAGTGGACAAGTTTAGTCATGGTACACAATGTAAGCAGCGTTTCATTGATTGCCAAACAAAACTACAACAAGCTCAAGTGAATGTGAATGAGGATTTGTCAAGTACAAACCCCAATATATAAAATCTAAACAATGGTTACTTCTAAGGGAAGAGGAGTCGTCACCTGCGCACGCGCGAGAATTGAGTTCCAAGTGACGAAAACAACGCACGATAAAAGGGCAAATGCTCATTGGTAGACGCTTATTTGTAAACAACGACACGCTATGTCAGACTGTCGCATATACAGGTGACGACTCTTCCGCTTTATTCTAAGTGACTGCGAATGTTAAAACAAGTGATAATCTTGTTGAAATTACAGATTCACAAAAGTGCCGTTTTCTCTATTTTCGATGATTCTAAACAACTTCGGCTTGCTAAAATCCTAATAATCCCAATGATTAACACTGTCACGTGATGTTGCTTTTTTGTTCTGGTTGTATTAACTTACATGACTAAGCTTCCAAGATTTGCACCTGTATTTTCTAAAATAACATCCAATAACTGACGTCAGCTCATAGTGACAATGAAAATTGCGAAGACTGTTTTATAAATGATGGAAACAATAATAAGAACAAATATATACTCATTTATATTCATGATGTATTCTTTACAATGGTATAAGAATAATAGTGGGTAGTTATTTGCGTTTTTTTATACATCGGCCAATTGACTGATAGAGCAAGTAGCCAATCAGCGCCCGCGATGCAACTGATGATTTTTCGCATTGATGATATAGACAAGCCATGGTGTTACTGACACCGCCCGCTGCAAATGTCAACGGAGCTGGCTTGAAAGTTTCAATGTGATACTAGTAGTGACGTTATTTTAAGCAGTGTAGTAGCAAAGCAGGTGTGGCCCTAGTTCCCGAGTGACCAGTGTCAGCAGATGCTGGAAATTAGACAATGATTTGTGGATGGGAAAAACTATATTGACCGCGCCGAGTACTTCAAATGTATAATAAGTAGCTAACACCACGAAACATCGCTACTACGCCCTCACAGCAACCCTCTGTCCCGCGGTGCATCCTACACTGATTCATGATTTCTGTTTCTCATTGATCGCATTTGTATACTAGTATTTTTTTAGTCGTGTGACCCCAAAACTAAATCAGTCTCTACAAAAAAGTGTTTTCCGAAAATTTCAGGTTAAATGCTTTTTACAAATGTACTAGTATATGTTTGATAGATTTCGGCAACTATTGTTCTGGTTACAGTTGTCAGAATTTTTCAAGTAAATAGACTATCCTGCTACTTTGACACGGTCTTTATGTTATGTCGTTATGTTTACAAATGCACGTGGGTTGGAAAAACAACGACAATGTAATGTAAATCTGTAAAAAATATTTGCGTGATTACTTGGAATGCTCGTAAAACTGAGATTTTTTTTTCGTGAAAAATAAAGATATTTTTGTGAATATATTGACATGAATTAGTTTTCGCGTATCTGTTGACCGACTTATTTAGAGAATTTCCCCCTGATACAGTCATGACACCGTGCTCGAAGATGTGCGTAAACATGAATTATGTTTCGTTTTTTGTTTGTTTGTTTGTTTGTTGTTTTAATTTTTCGCTGTTGTAAATAACGAGTAAAACTAAATTCAGCTGTGGGCCAGAGTTTATATAGATCAACCCGATACGAAAGTGGAGCCCGTCAAAATCAAAATCGGCTTAAATATATAACCGAACGTACTTTTTAGTTTGTTTACCAATATTTCTATGCTTACTCTCTTTTATAAAATACGGCGTATTTATACAGTTCTATGGAGATTGACGCGCTAATCAAATACTGTATAAAAAAGCACCACTAATTTAAAGAGCTGCCGGGGTTAAGTTGCTGTGCCCGTCACGGTTAACTCGCTAACCCAATACGAACAATTGCAAACGGAACTGCCCGTGGGGATATAGACAATACAAACATAATAGACAATTCAAGATTTATTTATTCTTGCCAGCATAATTACCCCGTCTGCCTTGTCTCCAATAACGTAGGGTGACATGGATCCAACGTTATTCTAGTTTTTACTTTTTTTGTTTATTTATTTCATTTTGATCTAGTATATACTTTTTGAAGTTTTGATCATTCCGCAATCCAATCCAACAACTTGAGGCGGAATTAAAAAACAAAAAACAAAATCAAAATCAAAGTAAAATAAAAAAATAAAAAGGCATTAATAACAAAAGTAATAAAAAATAAAATAAAAATAAGTTTATAGCCAAAATAATTAAAGCCCGTACACTACATCAAATTTTAATCAGATTGGCACTTTATATACCTGGTCCAACGCACATTAAAAACAAAGTCCCTTTATCGCTCTGTATAGGGACTGTGGCCGACTTCAATGCGCTTGTCTTTAAAACAAATTATATCAACTACTAATTAGTGTGACATTTAGTGTAGAAGCAACTCTCCGATTTGGTGTTAGATACACAGGTTGCTTTTATTCAATTTGAAATAAAAATCATTCTCTGATCTCCTACTGAGGTAAGTGGTTCCTTTTTGGTCGTTTATTGATTGTTGGAGATTCCATTGGCTGATGAGATTATCCCAACAATGGTATAATCTGAACAGAAAAAAATGAATGGGAAAAATATTTGAAAAAATAAAATACTGTAAACAAGCACGCATACCTGTTTTTATGAGTAATACACCAACGCCAGCATTTATACTTCGTGATAAGATTCGATCTTACCATGGAGGTAATCTTATTACCTCCATGATCATACTGGATTCGCTCCATTATGTTTACTCAGTAAATATCGGACTACGTGTTTTCAGTTCCACGCTGAAACTATATATACTCATTGAAAACTTCTATAGGGGTACATCCGTAGTTGAAGTATACGTGTATGTGTCGCTGTTTTGACCCAATTTTACGACCGAGCCTATATATTTTTACCAACATGGGTCATTTTTTGACGAAAACGCCAGATTTTGAAGCAAAAAGCGCGTCCCCGCCCGAAACACCTGTAACTTGTGTTCGAACGCGTTCGCCGCTTAACCTGGGCGCGCGTACGCGTACATATGCCTTGTTCCATCGTTCGTAACAGCACCTGGGAAGAGCGTATTCAAACGTAAAACTCAAATCATCGAGAAATACGAAATTTTCGCAAATTGATTAACGTTAATGTGTTATGTGTCCGTTTATTTTGGGCCATTATCACCGAAAATGTTGTTCCAGGATCGACTGATTCACCAAGGTAGTAGATCCATCTTTTTTTTCAAACTATATCGATGCTCGTGCTACATGCTACTGCGCCACGCGTTGTTGGCGGTGACGGACAGATTCAATGTAATTATATTATTTCAGTCAGACAGAATAGTTACTTATTTATAAGCCAGGAACTGGAAATCATATGGAGGCAAAATACTATGACTTATACTGCGATTGCACTCCGATTCTAGCTAAAATGAATAATGCGATGCGCAGTATGATGCATTTGTCAATGGGTACGTGTTAATATCGTGTACACCCAACATGCACATTGGATTTGGGTTTACAATTTATGCCGAGACGGTGCACACATCGTGTTCCAACCAATCTAGAAAGACAGTACTAAATTGAAGTTTTGTTTATTTTTCAGGTGTTTCAGTGTCTAAGTGAGATGGATTAAGTCCCAGGAAAATCACTAGGACAATGATCCGACGAAACTCTCTATTCGGTACATTTGATCATAACAGCGATGCACGGAAGCAATCTGTTTTTTCACAGCAAACACGGCCGAATGCTTTTGAGAGAGACAATCAACAGTTCAGTATTGGGGGAGGCATTCCACCCAGTGCAAAACCAAGACTTTCTCTGGATCTCGGCGTTGGTGGCAACGTCACTTTTAAGGAAGATATGTTGATACACGACGTTGAATCGTTGGAGCGTATGGATGGATTAAGCTCGCGATCCAGTAGCAGCTTCGTCCCCCCTGAAGGCAGCAAACACATGGGTGTCAACAATCCCGAACCGGCGTTTTTATCACGTTTCGACCGTTCGCTTCGGGAATTCCGCGTAAAAGAAATAGCCAAATCCGACCTCAAACGTCTGCTGAGTCGGGCATATTCGGCGCTCTGTGTTCTTTCCATCATATCCGTAATACTCATGGTTTTAGACGTGGAGTATAGCGCAATTTGTAGATATGACTTAGAAGACCGCTACAACTACACAATTCCCGGGATAACACGACTACTTTCCGATATGCCCGAGTCGTTACTGATCGTCATCGGCCTAAAATCGGCCGTATCATTTATCACAATCTTGACAGTAGGAGCGCTATATTATTACTACAACCAACAGACGAAAATGCTCATCATCAAGCACCATCTTCCAGACAACAGCACTGTCCTTGCGTCA